GCTGGCGGGGGACAGCCTTCGGGCCGTTGCTGTCCCTTCCAAGCCCGGCGCCTACGGGAGCCAAAGCGGCCTAGCGAAAATCGCGTCTTGTTTGGGCCCGAGAGGCCCAGGTGGGCGGCTGGGCAGCGCCCGGCTGGTGCCAGCCCCCTGCCCCTTCGCGGCCTGCGCCTCGAACCTGGGGCTGCAGGCTTCCGGTTACCTGGGTCCCGAGCCCGTTTTCTGGCCTGCTGGGGGCTGGTCGGCCTTTCCGATCCCCTCACCCCGTGGGCCCCCCCGAAGTAGAGACCCTGTGCTCCGTGCGGGGGCGAAGACCTCAGGGGACGTCCCCGGAGCCTGGGAGCAGAGACGTGTCCCAGTGAAGAGCCGCCTAATTGAAACGGTGATTGATGACATCAAGGGGCCCCCAGGACACTAGCTCTGCAGAAAAGGGGCCTGTGTGGCCTACGGAGGCCTGAACTTTCCACGTCTCCCTCCAGACAGTCTATCACCGAGCAAGACTCACACATACCTGCAAGCGATATCTAGGGGAAAGGGCGCTGTTTCATTAAGAGATGAAAAATGTTCCGTTGCTTCATTATGGAAATGAAGATTTGGGGCTACGTCCCCAGCCTCGTCGTTTAGGCCTAAGAAGAGCTTCTGTACAGATTCAGACTCTGTTTCTCGTGTCCTGTGTAGTCGCGTGCTGCGTAACTACTCCGATGGGTGACGGATCACATACACGGAGCTGGTCCCCTAAGGCTATAATGTGTGTCCCTCCTGTCCCTTTTCTATGTGTGGATACACCAATGCTTGCCACTGTGCTACAGATGCCTGCAGTGTGCAGTACAGTAATGTGCTGCACAGATTTGTAGCCTAGGGGCAACAGAGTACACCGTGCAGCCCAAGTGTATACGGCTGTGCCATCTAGGTTTGTGAGTGCACTCTGTGATGCTCCCACATTGGTGACATTGCCTCACGACACATTCTTCAGAATGTTAAGCAACGCATGACTGTGCTTTTCTGTCTCTGGAAAAACATCCGAGCTCTTGACATTTTTCACAAGTTGTAAAATAACGTTTTGCAAGCCAAGTTGCACCATTAGGTTTGCACTCATGACAAAGACTCATTTTCACGTCCCTCTTGTCAGCTGTTCACTAGGGATGTATGTTCATCTCATCCATGGTAGAGCATCACATCTATGCCATTGCTTTCTTGGCACTTGTCCCTGTAGGAGTTCATGTTCAGTGTGACAAAGAGATAAGTTCTGCTTGGTCACAGACATTGAGTTTCCCCATTTGTGGAGTGGAACCCCACCTGGTGCAAATGCATGGGGAACATATAGAATCTTACCAAAACCATCTTGGGCAGGAAAAGGAAATGTCCTAGATGCCAGAGTGCAAGGACAACCCAGAGTTAGATGTTCAAATAGTGCGGCAGCTGAGCAGTTCAGGACTTCAGAACTAGTGCCGGCTTCACAAGTGGGAGCTGGGGTTTTAGGCAATGGCATAGGCCTGTGCAGAACTCCCTGTGTAGATTCTGTACCCCCAAAAGGCATGGTCATCATGTCTGCACAGCTGGTACCAGAAAGCTCTGTCACCCAGCCAGAGGGAGTGGCTGAGCAGCTACCTGCTGGCCCAGGGCCATGTGTGGGTGGACTCACGCTGGAGAAAGGAGAGCCAGGGCCTTGGGCCATCTGCGTGCTGCCCACCCTGCTGGTTCCCTGAACTGTGGGGTGAGCCTGGAAGCTGGGCTGAGGTGAGGAGCTCAGCACTCTGGATCTCCAAGGGGAACACAGCATGGATGAGCTGTGAAGACAGGCACACAACAGGATGTCTCCGGGATGGGAGATGGTTGAATCAGTCCCGCTCAGGGAACTGTTGGAAAGAGGCTGTGGCGGTGTTAGGGACCCCTAGGCCAGGAGGCCAGATGATGACTTGGTTTGTCAAAGGCCTGTTACTGGCCAGGTGTGATTGTTTAAAAAACCGTTTATCTTAGAGTTTTAGTTTTATAAAGAGCTTTCCTCTTCAGGAGAACATACCGTGATGTGGGTGTCTCAGAGCTGGCACTATGAGCGAGTTTCGCATTCACCACGACGTCAATGAGCTGCTCAGCCTGTTGCGCGTGCATGGCGGGGATGGGGCCGAGGTCTACATTGACCTGCTGCAGAAGAACAGGACCCCGTATGTCACCACCACTGTCTCTGCTCACAGTGCCAAGGTGAGTGCACGTCCCTGGTGAGGGGTGCAGCGTGAGCTCTGGTCTCCGGGCAGCCTCAGCGGTGCCACGGATGATGACACATAGCAGTGTAGAAAGCTTCTTGTGGGCCAAGCGTGTGCTCACCTCTGATCTTCTGACTCCTGGTGGCTCTTACCACTCACTCTGCTCTGAGAATAAATGGAGGCCTGAGAGAGAGCTGGGTCCAAACCCTGACTCCTGCTGATACCTTCCCCTGTGGCCCCTGAACGAGAAGAAAGATTCTTGACATTCACATTCCTGTGAATAAAAAGAAAAACAACTGGAATCCTCTGTGCTGGGTGGGATGGCTTACTCCTGTAATTCCAGTACTTTGGGAGGCAGAGTAGAGAGGATTGCTTGAGCTCAGGGGTTTAAGACCAGCCTGGCAACTTGGTAAGACCCTATTTCTACAATAAATTTTAAAAATTAGCCATGCGTGGTGGTGGCATCTGTAGTTTCAGCTACTTGGAAGGCTAAGGTGGAAGGATCGCCTGAGCCCAATAGGTCATGGCTGCGGTGGCTGTGAGTGTGCCATGGCACTCCAGCCTGAGCAACAAAGTGAGACTCCAACTCAAAAAAAAAAAAAAATTGGCCGGGCATGATGGTGTACGCCTGTAGTTCCAGCTACTTGGAAGACTGAGGCAAAAGGATCACCTAAGCCATGAACTCACATGAGCCAGGACTTTTTTTTTTTTGTGAGTTGGAGTCTCTGTTGCCCAGCCTGGAGTGTACAGTGGTGTGCTCACGGCTACTGCAGCCTTGACCTGCTGGGCTCAGGTTTGGGTTTTGAACCGCTGGGCTCAGGAAATCCTCTCTCCTCTGCCTCTCAAAGTACTGGGATTACAAGTGTGAGCCACCGCTCCTGGCCTGAAATCTATTAAAACACACACACACACCCCACAAAGCTTAAGTATTCAAATAGCTTAACAATGGCACAAAGATAATTACATAAATTAGCTGAGTGGACTAGAGAGTTTAGGGACACATGCAATTCTATTCAATTTGTTGTAAGGGGAACCTTATAAACCACTGAGGAAAGCATGACCCCTGAGCCTGTCATAATAATGAATAGAGAGGGAATAGAGTTGAATGTGTAAAATGAATGCAGAAGCTAATAAGATACTGTTATGATGTGATCTAAGGCATAAGAAGATAAAAGGGGAGAAACCATCATGGGAGACACAGACAGGTTAATGCGATGTTTGGGTGAGTTTTCTTGGTTTATGTCAGAGATACATGGTTATTTAGTGTACCAAATTTAACTCTATTTTAGTTTTTCTGTTTAATTTTCTTGAAGGTTTTTTTTAAGTGCTTGATTAATTATTGTCATTAAATCACTTATGTTTGTGCTTTTGAGGTTAAAATCGCAGAGTTTTCTCGTACTCCGGAAGACTTCCTAAAGAAATATGATGAACTGAAATCTAAAAATACAAGGAACCTTGACCCACTGGTGTACCTGTTGTCGAAGCTCACAGAAGACAAAGAGGTGGGTGCCTGTTCCCGCCATGGACACTGCTCCCAGCCGGGAAACACTGGGAAGAGCAATATCTGAGTGTGTCTGAAGGATGATTGTGGTGGTGTCCTTGGTGGCATCTGTGTGTTGGTGAGGTGACTCCCCCTGCTCACTCTGCACCCCCTCACTGGTCTGCTCTCCCTTGCCTCAAGCCAGGAACACTTTGAGGTCATGTAGGAGTACACTTTTTGGTAGATCAGATACAACGGACATATAAACATGAAGAACATCAACAGACCTGTGGGGTCTGGGCACTTTACTTTCCAGTGTGTGGTGGTGGCGTTCTGACTGTGTCACCTGCCACTTTGATGTTGGGAGAAGTATGTTTTGAGGTAGAGGAGCAGAGTGGTGACGGGGGTCCCTGCTCCCCTGCTGCAGGTGAAACGATGCGACCAGGAGCTTGTTGGCACCAGCGCTAGGACAGGTCAGGAGATGGGTGGAAAGCTTGTGCTGCTGGGGAGGAGGTTTGGGATTGGCTTGAAGACGGCTGTAGGGGTTCCTCCCCTGTGTCTTAGAAACATGGCAGGTGGTACCACATGGCGTGAGTGTCTGGAGACTAGACTTAAAGGGCAAGCAGGGCACCCTTCCCCTCACTGTCACGTGTGGTTGTTTGGGTGAGGAAAGGAGGAAGAAGTTGGCTTTGCCTTGAGGTGCACAGACCTGCTGTGGTGTGAATGTGCGATTTTGCATGTTTTCAGACTCTGCAGTATTTACAGCAGAATGCAAGAGAAAGAGCTGAGCTTACAGCCACTGTGGTGGGCAGCAGTGCCACTAACTTCAACGTTCCCACCACAGCCTCCAAGATCTCCATGCAGGAGCTTGAAGAGCTGAGGAAGCAGCTTGGCAGTGTGGCCACAGGCTCCACGTTGCAGCAGGTATGGTCCACGTTTATCTGCTGGCGCCCATGCCTCTGCCATGCTGGGCGCCCACTGGATGGGCACGTCTCTCTGTCAGTTATTGAAAATGAGTCTCAATTTAAAGAGGCTGAGGCTTAATGCTTGATTATGAAACAAGTCTGTGGGGTTAGTTTTTAAATCAAGAATTCTGGGCCACACGAATTAAAAGATCACGACAGTAAAGTTCTCCTTTTCCTAGGGAAGTGAGGTTCCCCTGCTGCAAGGCAGCCAAGTGAATCTGAGTCCACAGAAATCCTGATTTTCTCTTTCCTCCTTTCACTTTTGACAGTTTCCAAGAAGGTTATGCTTTTTAGATGACTGCTTTTTTTCCCTTTTTTTTTTTGAATTGGAGTCTGTCGCCCAGGCCGGAGCGCAGCAGCACGGCCACCCCAGCCTGGACCTGCTGGGCTCCGGCGATCCTTCCGCCTCAGCCTTCCAAGTAGCCGGAACTACAGGCGCATGCTACCATGCCCAGCTAATTTTTGATTTCTTGTAAAGATGGGGTCTCACCAAGTTGCCCAGGCTGGTCTCGAACCTGTGGGCTCAGGCAATCCACTTGCCTCAGCCACCCAAAGCACTCGGATTACAGAGTGAACCACTGATCCCGGCCCAGGTTATTGTTATATTTTCTTTTCTGTTTTTGTTATATTTTCAAAATGATCACTTCTGTAGATTCTCTTCCTTCTATGCCTACTATTTGTCTGTGGTCTTGATATATTTTTTTTTTTTTGAGTTGTAGTCTCACTCTGTCGCCCAGGCTAGAGTGCAGTGGCACTCATGGCCACTGCAGCCTCAACCTACTGGGCTCAGGTGATCCCTCCACCTCTACCTCTTCCAAGTAGCTGGAACTATAGGCATGCACCACCATGCCTGGCTGATTTTTTGATTTATCATAGAGACGAGGTCTCGCCATGTTGCTCAGGCTGGTCTTGAACCCCTTGAGCTCAGGCCATCCTCTCGCCTCCACCTCCTAAAGTGGTAGGAGTATAGGCTTGAGCCACCATGCCTGGCCTGGTCTTGGTTTTATCTCTTGCCCTGTCTTGTCCCTTTGTGACCCCCAAACCCCTCTTTAGAATCATGTCCCTGAGGCATCCTCGTCTCACTTGTGCATGTGACACAGCTGATGCTTGCCAGGTGTGTTATGTGTGCCAGGAGCAGTGTTGAACCTCTGTCCTCATCTCAGGCCTCACACCACTCTTTCCAGGTGACACCTGAAACTGAGACTCACTGTTAAGTGCAGAGACAGTTTGCACCTACTCCTAGCCCTGACCACCCCTGGGTGGAAGTCAACGCTCCTGAAAGCTGGACTGGCCCAGTCTGACCTAGTCCAACTCTGCTCAAAACCAGTCCTTCTTGGCTCTGAGGGGAGGTTTCCTATCTGTTGCTGAAGCTTGTCTTCACCCAACAAGTTGTGTTTAGACTTAGCGGCCACCAGGAAAAACCAATTCAGGTTCTTCATAGAGTGTTCTCATCCAAAGCACCCACTCTTTGTCAAGGCACAACCTCTTCCCTCTTGGTTCCCACCGCTGGTACTCATGATATGCCAGAGGGTCCTGCACTGGACTGAGAGCCCAGAGAGAAAAGGGCTGGGGCGTCCTGTCTCTTGTTTCCTAGCCCCTTTCATTGTGATAGGCATGTAGAAGAGCGTTTCATTTCTACACTATTGACTCTTCACATGGGTTAGGTGATTGATTTCTACGCCAGAAATATGCTTATTTCTAAGGATGTGTTAGCTCAGTGTTTACATTAAACTATAACTTTCTGATTTTGTTTTTAAATATATCCTCGCTAGTCTCTGGAACTTACAAGAAAGATGCTTCGAGACAAACAGAACAAGAAGAATTCAGGCCAGCCACTCCCTGTCTTCCCAGTGTGGGTATATGAGAGACCAACGCTGCTTGGGGATTTCCTGGTTGGCTCGGGCTTAGGCACAGACACAACTCTGCCTATAGGTATGTGACGTGCTTGCTTCTAGCCCCAGGACCTCATAACACTATTGCTTGCCTGCTGCTGCCCTGGTACCAAGGTCTGCAGGAGTGTGGGTGTGGCCAGACCCTCCCCCAGGCCTGTCCTCTCTCAGGTTTCCGGTTCTGGTTTAGCAGGCATGACCGCTCGCCAGGAACTTCGTCGGGCTCTCCTCCCGTCCCTCTGGTCAGAGCCACCGGGCAGGCTGCGTCTGGTCCCTTCCAGGCCCCACGTTCTCGGGCTCTGGTGCAGACTTGCAGGCACCACAGTCATGTGGTCACGTTTTTCTGAGCAGCTATTTATATGTATACTCCTCATAGATTCTGCTATAACAGTGCTCTCAGAGGCCTCTTAAGAGTAGTGTGTCTTGTAAACAAAATGTAAATGAGGCATGAGGTCCTCTCAGGACAGGTTGCTGAAGATCTAGGGTGTGTTCCTCTGTCACAATCCATGTCTTTTTAGATTGAACAATGAGATTTCACAATGAAGGACTTGGCATACCATACCTGTAGCGTCTTGACTACTGCTATCAGCCCTAGCGCAAGAGGAAGTGTGGAGTGCAGTTTACATTACCACAGCACACATTCTGTGTGGCATAAGAACAGAGGTTGACTGTCACCAAAACCCTGGGGAACTGTCTTATGAAATCCCATGGTTTTTCTCCCATCCCCAAGCTAACATAACCCTGTTGTGAGTTAATGAAAAGGTATAGAAAATAGTCTGCTTTGTGGCCGGGTGCCATGGCTCATGCCTATAATCCCAGCACTTTAGGAGGCCGAGATGAGAGGATTGCCTGACTCCATGGGTTCAAGACCAGCCTGGACAACTTGGCGGGACCTCATCTCTACCATAAAATTTTAAAAAGTAACTGGGCATGGTGGCGTGTACCTGTAGTTCCAGTAACTTGGAAAGCTGAGATGGAAGGATTACCTGAGCCCAGCAGGTCAAGGCTGCAGTGGCTGTGAGTGTGCCATTGCACTCCAGTCTGGGCGACAGAGTGAGACTCCAACTCAAAAAAATAAGAAAAAAAGAAAACAATCTACTTTGTGCAGTGTGTTTTCGGCAGTAATACAATCTGTTCAAACTCAGGGAGACAGGTGTTCCCTTGGCTAAATTCAGTTGCAGGCTAGGCAGGGAACCAGGGTGCAAGGCAGAGGCCCCATAGCCGGGGGCTGGAGTGTCTTGGAGGTGCTTAGGCACCGTGTCTTCTGGGTCTACCCACAGGTGTTGGCAGGCTTGAGATCCTAGGGTCTGTGTCAGCAAAGCTCCCTTTGCATTGGACAGTACCAAAGACGTTTTCCCCAGAAGAGCACTAGGAAGGAGTGTGATTATTGCGGCTACAGATGACGTTTTCTGGGCAGGGCACTTGTGTTATGTGAATGAAGTTTCCAGACCCCACAAGGGACCTGACTTGGAGCCTTTAGGGCAGCGACGGGCATCTGAGAGTTCCTGGCGATGCCTTGGCAGGTACCAGAGAAGGAAGTACAGAACCCTGACAACTGGCCCATGATGGAGCCAGGCAGGGATGACTTTTTGGAACAAGACATGCACAGTGATGTTTTCTATAGGAAACCTCCCCCTCATTTTTCCCCATTGGGAAAGGCTTGTACAAAAGAGGAAAATGCCATCCTGTAATGCAGCAACACCTCAAAAGAGCTCTGGAAACATGGGGAAGGGTTTGAAGCAAGTGTGTGCTGCAGGTCCCAGAGGTGGCACTGGTATCCTGCCTCCCTGTGTCTTTACTGGCTCCATCCCTGAGTGCCACCTGTGCAGACCTGAGCACAGAGCTCGCCCTCAGCATCTGTGCGGGGCCCATTCAGCCCCTTACCTCACAGTCTTGTCAGTGCCATATCACAGAACCTCATGTGACCTTGGGCTGGCATTCCCTGAAAAACACCATCTGGGGTCATTTGAGACGTGGAGAAAGCCGTGAGAACGAAGTGGCCACCGCTCCTGCCGTTGTCCTGTTGTGCCTCTGCCACACACAGTGTTAGCTATGCTCTTGCCCATCATCTGATACAGGCGTCCTACACCTCAGCCCTCTGGCTTCCCCCATCCACTATCCTGTGCACACCCAGACCCCCATGGTCAGTGCAGTGGTCCGTGGCCCTCCCATCACTTCCACCTGGTAGAGCCTCAGTCTGGAGCCCACACCTTCTCTGGCGTGCAGGCATGGTGGGACAGGTGGATATCCCTCAGCCACGTCTCAGGTCTCCGTTGGTTTGCCAGTCCTGCGGCAGCACCTGGCCTTGGGGCTCTTGTGACCTTCTCCCGTTACCTCTCCCTCCTAGTCCCTCTGTCGACTCCTGCCTCCTCCTCTACAGCGGGTCATCTGGTTTGGTCGTGGGTCTGCTTCCTTGTCCTCTCTTCCCAGGTGCTCTTGTCTGTCCCGATGCTGCCTAGCACACCCCTGCCCCGGGGACCAGGCTCACCGTGTGCCTGCGTCCTCAGCTGGACAGCAGGGCTTGCCTTGCTGCCTCACCGCGCCTGTCACCCCTGCCTGCCAACGGCTGTTGGGCGTGGAAGTGTGGCTAGTGTGGCTGAGGAACAGGTTCTTTTCCAAATTAACCTGGCCCTCGTGGCCAGTGGGCCCATGTTGGGGGCGCGGATCTGATCTTCTGTGCTGCCTTCTGTGGGTCACTCAGTCATGGGCAGAGCCATCTCAGTGTCAGGCCTCTGTCCTGCCTGAGTCTCTCTGGGGATATCCCCCACAGCCATGGCTGAGCGGTGGAGAGCCTGTTGGGTCAGCCAGCTGGTACCCTCTCGCCTTCAGCCTCCCCACCCCAGCCAGTCCCCACACTCCGGCCAGATGTGCCACCATTTCCCCCCCTTGGGCGTGTGTGTGTTGCATCCCCTTTCCCTGGAAGACTCGCTAACTCCCAGTTCCTTTAAAGCTCAGTCTAGAGGTCTGACAGCACCCACCTCAGGTTTCTCATTCTCTCTGGTCACTCGTAGCACAGCATGCAGGGCTGTTGGTCTCCGTTTTCACTTGCTGCCTTTTCCCCATGCTGGCTCAGAGGAGCCACTTGGCAAACCGTTGTGTGAGCAAACATAGTCACAGGTCATGTTCTTGGGCGTTTAGCTGAAGATGAGGATGTGGAAGCTGGGTGAGGTGAGGGTCCCACACCCAGAGTGGGAGGCCAGCTCAGCTCACCCCTCACCCCTGCCACGAGGGCTTCTCCCCAAGAATCACATTAGCCACGGGTCTCATGGCCACGGGTAAGATGAAGCTAAAGAGCCAGAGGCAGTTCCTGGAGGATAGCCCTGCCATTGAAGAAGCGCCAAGCCAGACCTCACCACTTCCGAAACGACTAAGTTGGAGTTTCGGTGTTACAGGTGGTCCCAAGAAGGCCGCTGGAGTAATGGAAAGAAATAGAACTTGACTTCACAAGTGTGGCTCTGAATTGCACGTGAGGCATTGCTGCAGGACTGGAAGCTGGAGACCTGTTGCACCTGTGCTCCAGTCCTGGAGGCTGACTGTCAGGACAGTTCCTCCCCAGCAGGTGTGCGGAACCAGAAGTGTGTCCTGTGGAGCCTTCTTGAGCCTCCAGACCCTGGTTTTGGTGGGACAGTTTCATCAAGCTGCCTTCCCCTGGTGCCATCTCCCAGCCCCACACATGGCCTGTCCATGGCTGCATATCAAGGGCAGAGACCCAGGGACCCACCCTGGGCTGTGAGGGGTTTGGTTATAAGGAAGCCACACTGTGTGTTCTGCAGCCATCTCTCTCAGTGTGTGATAGCAGTGGTCATTTTCTTAAGGCTTGGGTGATAGCTTTTCAAAGACAGCTTCCTTTCATCCCAAAGTAACCCAGACTTACCAAGTAGTAATTATGGGTGTTGAAAGTAGAGCTGACAGCCAGATGCAATGATTTCTGTCTGTAATCCCAGCACTTTGGTAGACTAAGGTGAGAGAATTGCTTGAGACCAGGAGTTCAAGACTAGCCTGGGCAACATAGCAAGACCTCCTCTCTAGAAATGAGATGAGATGAGATGAAGAGATGAGATGAAATGAGATGAGATGATGAGATGAGATGAAATGAAATGAGATGATATGAAGTGAAATGATGAAATGAAATGAAATGAAGCCGGGCTTGGTGGCTCAGCCTGTAATCCCACACCTTTGGGAGGCTGAGGTGAGTGGATTGCCTGAGCCCGTGGGTTCGAGACCCGCCTGGGCAACTTGACGAGACTTCATCTCTACAATAAATCAAAAAATCAGCTGGGCGTGGTCACGCATGCCTGTAATTCCGGCTTCTTGGAAGGCTGAGGCGAAAGGATCGCCGGAGCCCAGCAGGTCGAGGCTGCGGTGGCCAGAAGTGGCCACTGCACTCCAGTCTGGGTGAGAGAGTGAGACTCCAACTCAAAAAAAAAAGAAAAAGAAATGAAATGATGCAGTGAAATGATGCAATGAAATGAGATGATGAGATGAAATGAGATGATATGAAGTGAAATGATGAAATGAAACGAAATGATGAGATGATAGAATGAAGTGAGATGAGATGATGAGATGGGATGAAATGACATGAGATGAAATGAAGTGAGAGGAGATGAGATGAAATGATGAGATGAGATGAAAAGATGAAACGATGAAATGAAATGAAGAAATGACATGAAATGATGAGATGAGACGAAGTGAGATGATGAAATGAGATGAGGTGAGGAGGTAAGATGAAGAAATGAGATAAAATGAGATGAGATGAAGTGAAATGAGATGATATGAAGTGAAATGATGAAATGAAATGAAATGATGTGATGAGATGATGCAATGAGATGAGATGAGATGATGAAATGAGATGGTGGTGTGGCACATGCCTGTAGTCCCAGGTACATGGAAGGCTGTGGCAGAAGGATCACCTGAGTCCGGGAGCTTGAAGCTGCAGTGAGCTGTTACTGGTGCCACTGCACTGCTGCCTGAGTGTCAGAGTGAGACCCTAGCTCAAAAAAAGAAAGTATAGCTGATGTTGGAATTGCTTTCTAAACTCCTAATGTTATCTTTTAAAATGTCAGGCTTAGCCGGGCTCGATGGCTCAGCCTGTAATCCCACGTCTCGGGAGGAGGCTGAGGTGAGTGGATTGCCTGAGCCCGTGGGTTCGAGACCCGCCTGGTCAACTTGGCGAGACCTCATCTCCACAATAAATCAAAAAATTAGCCGGGCCTGGTAGTGCACGCCTGTAGTTCCAGCTACTTGGAAGGCTGAGGTGGAAGGATGGCCTGAACCCAGCAGGTTGAGGCTGTGGTGGATGTGAGCATGCCACTGCCCTCCAGCCTGGGCAACAGAATGAGAGACTCCTACTCAAAAAAAAAAAAAAAATGTCAGGTATTTATTTGAGTATAGTAGAGCCCAGTGTGTGGTAAGACCCTGACAGTGCCCAGGGCCACTGTTCCTCCCAGGCCAGCCCTGTCGTGTGGTGTTGGCAGTCTCAGCCTCTGTTCCCAGCGGAATCAGTTAAAGCTAAGAGCAATGACTTACTTTTATATCCATAAACATTTGAGGGTGTTATAAATAAGGAAATGAGCGAATGTGGCTATGACCAGCAGACAAGGTCACTAGGAGGCCTGCGGGGTCCATGTGGGTGAGGCACTGTGAAGCCCCAGCACATGTCTGTGCCCTGCAGGGACGCTGCCACTGGCCTCCCAGGAGTCAGCTGTGGTGGAGGACCTGCTGTATGTGCTGGTGGGTGTGGACGGCAGGTACATCACTGCCCAGCCCCTGACTGGGAGGCAGAGCCGGACCTTTCTAGTAGACCCCAACCTGGACCTGTCCATCAGGGAGCTGGTGACCAGGATCCTCCCCGTGGCTGCCAGCTACTCCACTGTGACCAGGTAGGTGGGTGCCAGGCTCTGCCTTCACCTTGTCAGCCCTGGTTTCTTCCTAATGGCTGAAGAGACACTGGCGTCCCCTTCTAAAGAGAGTCTCTGCCTTGACGACGACTCAGGTTTGTGCCTGACTCGGTCTTGAAAACCTGTGAGTCACCATCTGGTGTTCTGACTCATCTCCTCTCAGTTCCCCTCTGGGATGAGTGAGTCATTTGCTTCCTGTTTAAAGATGGGAATTGGACTGGGCATGGTGGCTCACACCTGTAATCCCAGCACTTTTGGGAGGCGGAGGTGAGAGAATTGTCTGAGTGCCTGAGCCCATGGGTTCGAGACCAGTCTGGGCAGCTTGGCAAAACCTCATCTCTACAATAAATCAAAAAATTAGCCAGGCTTGGTGGCTCAGCCTGTAATCCCACGCCTTTGGGAGGCTGAGGTGAGTGGATTGCCTGAGCCCGCGGGTTCGAGACCCACCTGGGCAACTTGGCGAGACCTCATCTCTACAATAAATCAAAAATTAGCCAGGCGTGGTAGTGCACGCCTGTAGTTCCAGCTACTTGGAAGGCTGAGTGAAAGGATTGCCTGAGTCCAGCAGGTCGAGACTGTCGTGGCTGTGACCGTGCTACTGCACTCCAGCCTGGGCGACAGTGACACTCCGGCTCAAAAAAAAAAAAGATGGGACTTGGAATATTTGACCTTTTATCTGAAAACATAGCTCTCACCTTTTTGAGGGAGTTTGAGCCATCTTTCCTCACAGGTTCATCGAAGAGAAGTCTTCCTTCGAGTATGGGCAGGTGAACCACGCCCTGGCAGCTGCCATGCGCACCCTGGTGAAGGAATACCTAATTCTGGTCACTCAGCTGGAGCAGCTGCATAGGCAAGGCCTCCTGTCACTACAGAAGCTCTGGTTCTACATCCAGCCAGCCATGCGCACCCTGGACATCTTGGCCTCCCTTGGTATGCACCTGCCTGGGTGAGCAGAGTGGTAGCGGGGATCTCACAGCTGCAGGGCCTGGTGTCCATGGAGTGGCTACCTGGCCCAGGGTACTGTACTGGCCACCCCATTTATTCTTTGTTTTTGTTTTTGAGTTGGAGTCTCACTCTGTCGCCCAGGCTGGAGGGCAGTGGCACACTCCCGGCCACCGCAGCCTCGACCTGCTGGGCTCCGGCGATCCTTCCGCCTCAGCCTTCCAAGTAGCTGGAACTACAGGCACGCACTACCATGCCCGGCTAGCTTTTGATTTACCGTAGAGATGAGGTCTTGCCAAGTTGCCCAGGCGAGTCTTGAACCCGTGGGCTCAGGCAATCCACTCACCTCGGCCTCCCAAAGGCGCGGGATTAAAGGCTGAGCCACCGAGCCCGGCCCCCGTTTATTCTTTCAGATGCCAGGCTCGTGAGGTCAAAACTCGTATTGCTTCATGTTTTATTAATTTGCAGGAGGCAGGCTCTAGAAGCTTTTGTCGATAGGCTTTAATTAGCAGCTACAACTTTGTAGCTTGTGTGTCTCCCAAAAAGAGGGCCCTGCCTCGGGAAGTAAGTTGGGGATGGAGAGGCTGCCCCCGTCTCTCTCTGAGGCTGGGTGTGTGCAGGGGCTTCCGTCTCAGCAGTGACCTCCTTCTCCTCCCTGCAGCCACCTCCGTGGACAAAGGTGAGTGTCTGGGAGGGTCAACGCTGAGCCTGCTCCACGACAGGAGCTTCAACTACACAGGGGACAACCAGGCGCAGGAGCTGTGCTTGTACCTGACCAAGGCGGCCAGCACACCCTACTTTGAGGTTCTGGAGAAGTGGATCTATAGGGGCATCATCCATGACCCCTACAGGTAGGACTCTGCACAGTCCACAGGGACATGCGTGTGTGTGTGCTGCTGCCCCTCCCAGGGAAGGCCCACAGGCGCCTGTGTGGCCACCCGCCATGCGCCACAGGTAGGGAATGTGCAGTGGCTGTTTTTGACCTTACGCTGTCGTGACGGACATTAAAGTCGCCTGAATCTGGTGCTCAGACTTCCTGGGTGTGTGGCCTTTCTGGTCTGCTGAAGTCCGTGGCTCCTCCTTACTGAGATGCATTTAAATGCATGAAGCAAGATGTGTCAGTTCACGGAGAATTCCATTGTACTGAGATATATTTGTCAAAACTTTTTGAGTTGGCGTCTCACTCCGTCACCCAGGCTGGAGTGCAGTGGCCACTCCCGGCCACCACGGCCTCGACCTGCTGGGCTCAGGCGATCCTTCCGCCTCAGCCTTCCAAGTAGCTGGGACTACAGGCGTGCGCTACCACGCCCGGCTAATTTTTGATTTATTGAGAGACGAGGGCTCACCAAGTTGCCCAGGCTGGTCTCAAACCCGTGGGTTCAGGCATTCCTCTCGCCTCCGCCTCCCAGAATGCCAGGATTACAGGCTTGAGCCACCGTGTCCATCCGTTTTATCTTTTTATTTTTATTTTTTTGAATTGGAGTCTCACTCTGTCGCCCAGACTGGAGTGCAGTGGCCGCTCCTGGCCACCGCAGCCTCGATCTGCTGGGCTCCAGCGATCCTTCCGCCTTAGCCTTCTGAGTAGCCGGAATTACAGGCACGCTCTACCACGCCCCACTAATTTTTTTGATTTTATTGCAGAGATGAGGTCTCGCCTGCCTAGGCGGGTCTTGAGCCCGCAGGCTTGGGTAATCCACTCACCTCAGCCTCCCAAAGGCGCGGGATTACAGGCTGAGCCACCGAGCCCAGCTCTTTTTTTCTTTTTTTCTTTTTTTTGAGTCAGGGTCTCTCATACAAGCTGGAGTATAGTAGCACGCTCATAACTCATTGCAGCCTCCACCTCCTGATCTCAGGCCATCCTTCTGCCTCAGCCTCCCAAATAGCTGGGACTACAGGTGCGAATCACCATGCCCAGTTAATTTTTAGATTTTGTTGTGGAGACAAGGTCTCATTATGTTGCCTAGGTTGATTTTGAACTTCTGGGCCCAAGCAGTTCTCTCATTTCAGCCTCCAAAATGCTAGGATTATAGATCTGAGCCACTGTACCTGACCAGAACATTTTAAAAATGCACATTTGTGGCCAGGCATGATGGCTCACACCTATAATTCCAGCACTTTGGGAGGCTGAGGTGAGAGGATTGCCTGAACCTGCCGGTTCAAGACCAGCCTGGGCAACTTGGCAAGACCTCATTCTACAATTAAAAAAAAAAGAATTAGCTGGGCTCAGTGGCTCAGCCTGTGATCCCGCGCCTTTGGGAGGCTGAGGTGAGTGGATTGCCTGAGCCCGTGGGTTCGAGACCTGCCTGGGCAACTTGGCAAGACCTCATCTCTACAATAAATCAAAAATTAGCTGAGCGTGGTAGCACACGCCTGTAATTTCAGCTACTTGGAAGGCTGAGGTGGAAGGATCGCCTGAGCCCAGCAGGTCAAGGCTGCGGTGACCGAGAGCATGCCACTGCCCTCCAGCCTGGGTGACAGAGTAAGACTCCAAATCAAAAAATACATATATATATACATTTGAGATCTAGAAGTATTTTTTTCTTGAGTAATGGAACGAACACAGTGTGCTGTGATAGGCCTAAGAAGGAATGCAGCTTCACACCTGCTTCAAGTGTTATTTTGTTGCCTGTGTTCCTGATGGAAAAAAATGCTAAATTCTAGTAAGAAGTAATGAAAATAAAGATAAATTAGTTTCCCATTCAGATCTCTGGCCCCTAGATTCTCTCTGAGCTCCGGGTTAGATGTCCTGCTAAAGTGAGGTTTTAACTCAACATTGGAGAAGTAACTCTGGTAAGGTAGGCTTAGTGGAAAGTTTTAGGAAGTGTTTCTGCCTCTGTAAATATCCCTGTAGCTCTGCCAGGCTTGCTGTGCTATCCTGGGGAAGCACCTCAGCTGCATAAGTCACGAAAGACGCCCTCACTTCCCCGATCTGAAGTGCCCCTATGGTTTCAGTGAGTTCATGGTTGAAGAGCATGAGCTGCGGAAGGAGAAGATCCAGGAGGATTACAACGACAAGTACTGGGACCAGCGCTACACCATTGTCCAGCAGCAGATCCCGTCCTTCCTGCAGAAGATGGCCGACAAGATCCTCAGCACAGGTGCACGTGCATGTGCGGCAAGCAAGGAGATGGGGCGCTGGAGGCCTGCAGCCTGATTGTTCTTCCTGGAGTCTGTGTCTCATTCTGCTGGGCACCCAAGATTGCATGCCCACCAGAGCACAGGGCTGCAGGTCACAACTGGTCCTTTAGCCTGGGCTGCACTGAGGCTGAGGAGTTGCTCTTCTGGTGTCAGGTGATTCCTGGACACTGGTCAGAAAAGTTTTGTCTCTTGATCCTAGGAGGTTTTCTCACAGGTGCCTTCTCTTTGTTTTTTCTGAAACTTTGTTACCACTATAGGAAAGGCTACAAGTAGTAAAGACATGCCTGCTGGGCCAGCAGTGTTTTTGTCACCTTCACACAGGTTAGGACTTGGTTAGACTGGTCAATGATAGAGGGATTCCACCCATTGGTTCTGAGAGCTGGGCTCTCATGGAAGGGTTGGGAGATGATTAGCAATCTGGTTCTCATGAGGCACTTTTTTTTTTTTTAAACGAGACCATCATGTTGCCTGGGCTGATCTCAAACTCCTGGGCTCAAGCAATCCTCCCATCTCAGCCTCCCAAAGTGCTGGGATTACAAGCAAGAGCCATGATACCTGACCTCTCTGACCTCATGAGGCCTTATTGGAGTTATTTCTGTGCCTCTGATGAGAAGATTCCAGATATAAAGAGCCACAATAGTTCATCATAGCTACTCCTTCAGTCTGTAGTAGTTGACCGTGTGTTTCTCTACCTGGGGTAAAGTGAGTTCATAGGACTGCCTTGTGCTGTCTGCTGTGTTCAGTCTACAGCCTCGTGTCTAGATGGAGGCCCCAGGCCTGAGGTTTGCCATGTGTACAATGACGTTTCTGCGATCTCCTTTCAGGAAAGTATCTGAATGTGGTCAGAGAGTGTGGCCACGACGTTACCTGCCCAGTGGCTAAAGAAATCATCTACACGTTAAAAGAGCGTGCGTACATGGAACAAATTGAGAAGGCGTTTAACTATGCTAGCAAAGTGCTGCTGGACTTCCTGATGGAGGAGAAGGAGCTGGTGGCACACCTGAGGTTGTTCTTAGCTCTGTCCCTTAGTGAAGTGTGTGGAACTGTGGGATGTGGGGCTGAGATGGGAGTGACTTCTGGTGAACCTGTCTTACCTCTGTAAGAGTAGGCATGCTGCGGGTCATCTCCAGCCTGAGGGCCTAGCACACTTGCACTGGGTAGCATCTTTCCCGGTCACTTTGTCCAGGCGTTCCAGCTCCCCACCCTGACCCTGCCTGGAGTGCATCACCACCACCTCCCGCAGCTTCTTGCTGCCAGCACCTCCTCCTGCCACAGCCTGACACGGAGGTCCCTGGTGTCCCTGCCTGAGAGCCACTGGGCTCATTCCGACCTGGTGGTTGTGGTGCTGTGCTGGCGGGTGTGGGATTGTGCTCACCTCCCCCTCTCTGGCGCAGGTCCATCAAGCGCTACTTCCTGATGGACCAGGGGGACTTCTTTGTGCACTTCATGGACCTCACTGAGGAGGAGCTCCGGAAGCCGGTGGAGGACATCACGCCTCCCCGCCTGGAAGCCCTGCTGGAGCTGGCGCTCCGCATGAGCACCGCCAACATGGACCCCTTCAAGGACGACCTCAAGGTGGGTGGGGGCCGCCAGGGGCTGCACTCTGCTGGAGAGGGTGCCACCCGAGGAAGGCGTGGGACACAGTCACAGCAGAAACTAGCCTGTCTAGTGTTCCTCCGCACCAGGGCACGTGGTTACGGGCTTGGCTTTCCTTCACTCCTTCAGTGTGCTGCTGAGTTCAGTTTGCCAGTTATTCCTGAGGATTTTTGCCCCTGCGTTCATGAGGGGTGTTGGCCTAAGGTTTCCTTGCAGTGTCCTGTCTGGTTGTGGCATTGGTGTTGTGGTGGCCTGTAGAGTGGGTCTGAAAGTGTCCCTGCTCTTCAGCTTTTGGATGAGTTTCAGGAGTGGTGTCAGGTCTTCTCTAAATGTTTCGCAGGATCACCAGGAGCCATCTGGTTCTGGGCTAGTCTGTGTTGTGAGGTTTTTTTATTTTTTGTCTTTTGGGGTTTTTTTTTTTTAGTTAGAGTCTCACTCTGTCATCCAGGCTGGAGTGCAGTGGCACACTCACAGCCACCCCAGCGTCGACTTGCTGGGCTCCAGCAATCCTTCTGCCTGAGCCTTCCAAGTAGCCGGAACTATAGGCGCGTGCTACCGTGCCCGGCTTTTTTTTTTTTGTTTATTGTAGATATGAGGTCTCCCCAAGTTGCCTGGGCTGGTCTTGAACCTGCAGGCTCAGGCAATCCACTCGCCTCGGCCTCCCAAAGTGCTGGATGACAAACTGAGCCACTGAGCCCAGACTGTGTTGGGAGGTTTTGACTGCTGACTTTCGCCTTGCTGGCCATGGGTCTGCTCAGTTCTCTTTTCTGGAATCAGCCTTGGTGGCTTGGGCGTTTGCTTCCCACCTCACTTGGGTGTCCATGGTTGGTGCACAGCTCACAATATTCTTTTATAACCCTTTCTATTTCTGTGAAGTGGCTAGTAATGGAGATAAAACTTTGTCAATTCTCTTGATCTTTTCAAAGAACCAGTTTTAAAAAAAAATTTTTTTTATTTTGAAGATGTGGGTACAATTCAGGGTTAAGTGTATAAATATTCATTATGCAGGTACCCTTGTTGATGAGGCATGCCCCCCCACAACAACTTTTGATTTAGTTGATTTTCTCTATTGTTTTTCTGTTCGCGGTTTTATCTCTTCTCTAATCTTTGTCATTTCCTTCTGTCTGCTGGTTTTGGGTCTAGTTTGCTCTTCTTTTTCTAGTTTCTTAAGTTGTAAAGGTAAGTTATTGATCTGAGATTGGCCTTCTTGTTTGACATGGCATTTGCAGTTGTAAACTTCCCTCTCAGGACTGATTTGGTTGCCTCCCTAAGTTTTGGCATGCTGTGTTTTCATTTTTGGTTATCTCAAGGTATTTTTTGATTCCCTTATGATTTCTTTTTTGATTCATCAGTTGTTGATATTTAATTTCCACCTACTTGTTAATTTTCCAGTTTTTCTTCTGTTACTTATTTCTAAATTTATCTCATTGTGATCAGAGAATGTGTGAATGTATGATTTTTGGTGTTGTGAAATTCACTGAGACTTATTTTGTGGCCTCAACATATATCCTAAAGAATGTTCCATATGCGCTTGGGAAGAATGTGTGTTCTGCTGCTGTTCTGGGAGTGTTCTGTAGATGTGTGGTTGGGTGTATTTATTGTATTGCTCAAATCTTCTCTTTGTTTCCTGACTTCTATCTATTATAGAAAGTGGGGTACTGTTGTTGTATAACTGTATTCTTGTAATTTTGTTCATTCTTGCTTCTGCTATTTTGGGGTCTATTGTTAGGCACCAGAGTATTTTCATAGACTACATTCCTAGTAGAGAAATTGTTGGGTCAAAATATATAGCCCTTGGACCACTAGACAGATCTTACTAGAATTTAGTCATAGGACACTAGGCTGCACAGCTTGGAGGCTGTTGTCTGCACACTTGCAAATTTCCCCTTTGCTACTCTGATGGGCAGGAAAACTTTTATTAGATGTTCTCTTCTGTTTTAGGTGATGGTGAGTGTTTTTTGCCTGTCAGGTGTTTGTTTCTTCTTTTATCCTCTGTCCTTCATTTTATGTCATGTCATAGACTTACTTTATTATTTTATCTATTCATGTATTTAATTAGAGGTAGAGTCTTGCTCTGTCACCCAGGCTGGAGTACAGTGGTGCGTTCATGGCTCTCTGCGGCCTCTAACTCCTGGGCTCAAGTGATTCAGCCACCTCAGCCTCTTGAGTAGCTGGGATTAGATGCATGTACTACCATGCCTGGCATGTTGTAGATTTATGGGAAACTCTGTCACACTCTGACACTCTGTGTAGTTGGCATTTAAAAAGTATTTGAATAATTAATATGTGGACAGTATTATTTACTTATATTTATTATATCTTTCATTATATATGCCATATTTTTCAACCTGTGCCTGGTGCTTATTGTGGTAAAAAGGTTCAGTCTTAAGGGATTCAGTTTCTCTGACTGTCCCCTGTGCTTTTTCGTTTATACTACCCACAGCAGCAGGAGCATTTAAAAAGTAATTCATCTGTATTTATTTTCTGTTTGCATAGGAAGTGGTTTAATCTTGAATTAGGATTTGTCAGTAGATGTTTGGGTTTTTTTTTAAGTCAGCCTCCAATATTTACAATAATTTAGGCTGAGTGCGGTGGCTCACACCTGTAATCCCAGCACTTGGGGAGGCAGAGGCAAGAGGATTGCCCAGGGGTTCGAGACCAGCCTGGGCAACTTGGCAAGACCTCATCACTGTTATCAGTTAAATAAAAAATGTAGTTGGGTGTGGTGGAGCATGCCTATAGTTCCAGCTACTTGCAAAGCTGAGGCAGGAGGATTGCCTGAGTCCAGCAGGTCAAGGCTGCAGTCGTCATGAGTGTGCCACCGCACTCCAGCCTGAGCAGCAGAGCGAGACTCTGACTCAGCGGCACCAACAACACAATCAGGATTCAGAGAAATGTATGTCAAAACTGGAGTTGTTTTTCCAGCTCACGAATCAGGGATGGTGAGGATCAGGACTTGTCTTCTGGCTGTTGCTGTAAGAAATGGCACTTTATTTTTTCCCCCAAGATTGACCTGATGCCTCACGACCTAATCACTCAGCTCTTGCGCGTTCTGGCTATCGAGACCAAGCAGGAGAAGGCGATGACCCAGGCTGATCCCACTGAGCTCACGCTGAGCGGCCTGGAGGCCTTCTCCTTCGACTACATCGTCAAGTGGCCCCTTTCTCTGATAATCAGCAGGTGAGGAGTTGGCCACTTAGCGGCACTTTCTGGCAACATGTTCAGGTGTGGAGGAAGCAGACCTGACAGAGGGCGGGGGCTCTCCCTAGCCACCCGGGGCCCGTGCAGACTGGTGAGCGTGGCTGGCTGCATCCATGCTGGCGTCTGATGCCTGCAGCCACGTCCGTGTCTGAGAGTCCCGTGTGCCCGTCTTTTGCAGGAAGGCCCTCACTCGCTATCAGATGCTCTTCAGGCACATGTTTTATTGCAAGCATGTGGAGCGGCAGCTCTGCAATATCTGGATCAGCAACAAGACCGCCAAGCAGCACGCGCTGCCCTCTGCAAAGTGGTGCGTCCTGCCCTCTGTGATCCCTCCAAGCAGGACAGTTTTGCTTTTTATCCTTTTAGAAGAGTGATTTGAAAGCTCACGTCTGTAGCTTTTAGATCCATGACACTTTGGTGTTCATGCCTCGGGGCAGCGCCATAGTGCTTTCCACTCCTCAGGGGATACTAGCTCTGCCCTTGCGTCCTCGCTGCACCCTGTGGTTACCACACGGGTGTGAAAACTGCCCAGGTCTGTCTGCAGGACACAGTCCCTCCACCCCAGGGCTGAGAGCGTGTGTTCCCTCCTCCCAGGCACATGGAGCCACATCATACTGGGGACCCAGAGGTATTGTGTGACTGGTCTGAGGCACTAGGTAGTGTTTGAAGAAAGGGTTGATGGCAGAATGTCTTAGGAATCCGTCTTGATAAGAAGGCACAAAATATAGGATCCACTGGGTGGTCTTGTCCCCACTGGGGGCTGCTTACTGGCTCTGAGGGGTTCCATTAACCGAGGAACCTGTTTCCGAATCTCCGTCGTCAGGCTGGTTGGTATTGCCCTCACAGGATACAGGGAGATGGATGGTGACAAGTCCTGCTGGGCAGGATGTTCGCCTGACCTTTCCAGAGCAGGGCGTGGAGTCTCCAGGCCCTGCGTGGGTGAGCATGCCCCAGCACTGAGGCATGCTTCTTCACTGGTGCCATTCGTGTGTGTGACCAAGCAGTCTCTGAGTTACAAGAGCAGCAGTTATGAGGGCCCAGTGTGCTCAGAGAAAGCAGTCGTACCTTCTGGACATCGTTGAGATCCCGGCATGGTGTCATGTCCTCTGTGACTGTCCTTCTTGCCACTCAGGTTTGCCGGGGCCTTCACTCTGCGACAGCGAATGCTCAACTTTGTTCAGAATATTCAGTACTACATGATGTTTGAAGTGATGGAACCAACCTGGCACATCCTGGAGAAAAACCTGAAATCTGTGAGTTTTCGTTCATTGGATCATGACATTTAAGAGGCTCTTTTCCAACCTGGGTGTGTTTCACAAAACGATCTTTAGAGTGCCAGGTGCTGGCTGGTGTCAGGGGTCAAGCTGCAGGGACACTGCCCCGCAGCTCCACTGCCCTCTGCTAGAGAGAAGTTACTAGGGCCTTGGCCACGCCTGAGAAGGAGGAGCCCCGCTCCTCTGTGGTTTCCTTCCACGTGATCATTGCGAGGGAGACGGAGAGGGGGATAAGAGAGAGAAAGGGAGGCAGACAGGGAGGGAATGGGGTTGGAGGGGAGAGAGACATGGAGTGAGAGGGAGGGAAGGAAGAGACAGGGAGGGAGGGAGGGAGGGGAGTTGGGGGGGGAGAGGGAGGGAAAGAGAGAAAGACAGGGAGGGAGGAGTGCAGGTTTGGCAGAGACGGGAAGAAGGGATGGGAGAGACAGCCAAGGGGGGGGGAGAGACAGACAGGGAGGGAGCAGGGTAGTCGGGAGAGAAGCAAGGGGGGTAGGGAGAGGGAGGCAGAGGAGAGGAGGGGGGAGTGAGCGAGGTGGAGGGGGAGACAGGAGGAAGGGGGGGAGAGAGAGACAGGCAGGGAGGCTCGGGGTTGGGGGAAAGAGGGAGACTGGAGGGGGACAGACAAGAAGGGAGAGGGAGCAGGGTGGAGGAGGGAGAGTGGGCTCTCCTGTGGGCCAGCTGCACCGGAACCAGCGTTAGACAGGCGAGTGTGGACTCACTCTGAGCCCCTTCCCCTCCAGGGGGCTCTGTGGGATTCACAGCCCCTCCCACACTGCACTTCCCAGGCAGCAGCCAGGAGCTCAGCAGCCAAGTTTGGAAGCAGAAAGTAGCCAGTAGTCGTATTTTCTTCCAGCTTCTTGCCTTTAAGAACTAAAGACTTGGACCTCGGGGGGATGTTCAGTATTCTTTTAGTGACATTTCGAGGTTTTTCCCTAAAAGACCATAGGCCCATCTAAAAGATGGAAATGTGTAAACAGAAGAGTATGAAGCCAAAATAGAATGCCACACCCATGTGGCCTATCTACCAGTGAACACTTTCTGAAGAGGCCGCTCAGTGCCGTTGCAGCAGTGCTAAGTCTCAGCCTTTTCTCCACAGGCTTCCAACATCGACGATGTCCTTGGCCACCACACAAGCTTCCTGGACAACTGCCTGAAGGACTGCATGCTGACCAACCCAGAACTGCTGAAGGTCTTCTCCAAGCTCATGTCTGTGTGCGTCATGTTCACCAATTGCATGCAGGTGCGTGCCAGTGCAGGCAGGTCCAGACAGGTGTGGGTAGGTGATGGCCAGTGTAAATGGATATAGACAGGTCTGGATATGGGTGAAGCAGGTGAGGGCAGGTGTGGACAGGTACAGACGGGTGTGGATGGGTGTGGATGGGTGAGGCTGGTGTGAGCAGTTGTGTGCAAGCAGGTGACAGTAGGTGAGACAGGTGAAGGCAGATGTGGGCATCCAGGCTGCTGCTGCACGCAGTCCTTTTCCACCTTCTGCCTTGAGCTCTGTCAAGGAGCCCACTGTTTTCTGAATGTTTCCAGAACTTTTGGGTCTTCCTGTCCAGGTCATTCCTTCCTTGTGCACCTGCCCTGGCACTGTGGTCAGGGCTCAGTCCTTGGGGCTAGTTTCTGTCGCGGGTCTTTTCTGAACGCCCTTGCATTCTCTTTCCTCACACCATGAGTCATTCAATTCAGTGAAGTATCTGTATGCAGTCATCCCAAGCAGTTGCCCAAAAACAGTGACATCTGGTGGCAGAAGAGGTACTGTGGTAGTTCACTGGACTTGAGGGTGCTGGAGGGGTTTGAGGGGTTAGCTCTGCAGACAGTACTGTGCGGACGGTGAGGACATGGTGAGTAGAAAGGTGAGGGCGGCAAGAGGGCTGTGAGCCTGTTGCTTTGATACTCAGGAGCCCCGTTGGAATCTCAAACGGGGAAGCACTGGGAAAACAGTCTTTGTAAAGCAGCCAGTCACTGTGGGAGGTAGACCTGGAATCTGTCAGCACAGCACTCCCTTGTGACTTCACCTGCAGGCACCAGCTGTGCAGGGAGTCTGTGCCCCTGCAGGGACTTGGGTGTTTTCTGCAGAGCCTTGTGGTTGTAACTAACAGAGCGTTTTTGTTTGTTTGTTTGTTTGTTTGTTTGTTTTATGACTGTCCCCTAGAAATTTACACAGAGCATGAAATTAGATGGTGAGCTGGGCCGGCAAGCGCTAGAGCACGGTGCAATGCTGGGGCTGCCCCCGGGGGCTGAACGGGCTGAGGACTGGGCCCGGAAGGAGTTCACAAGGAAGGTGCGTAGCCTCCAGGGCTGGCCAGAAAGAGGCTCTTCCTTCTGACTGATGTGACAGTGTGAGCATCGCAGCACTTGGGGAAAGCCAACCTTCTACCCGCTTTTGTTTCTGTCTCCCCTTTGGCTGACAAAAAGGCTTAAAATTAGGCTCCAAGCACAGCTACAAGAATTTTCCTTTTTAACTCTCTGATTCTGACTTCAGCCTGCTGGGCTTGCTGGGCTTGAGGGTGTGACCACAGTGATCTCTAAAATGAGTGTTGTGTCGGGGAGCCTGGGACACCTGGGGCAGGTATGGGGGAGCCTGGAAGGCCCCAGGATGGGTGTAGAGAGGCCTGAGACATCCCATGGTAGGTGGGAGGCCCTAGGACAGGGGTGGGGGAGCCTGGAACACTTCATGTTAAGTTAGCCTGGGACACCCCGTGGTGGGTGGGGGTTAGCTTGGGGTACCCCAGAGCTGTAGGGGAGCCTGAGAAACCCCAAGGTGGGTGTAGGGGAGTCTGGGAGACCCCACGACTGGGATGGGACACCCTGTGGCAGGTGTGGGGGATCCTGGAATGCCCCAGGGTGTGTGTCGGCGAGGTCGACACATGCTGCTGTTACTGACTAGAGCCTGCCCTGAATGAGAACCAGCAGGTTCTCAGCAGACACAAACAAGATGTGTCCTGATGTGGCCTCACAGTACCAGCTCCAGCCTGATATGATGGGGACAGGGTGTGCCTTCCGGGTTCCCACACTGGGGCTGGCAAAGAAGAGCTGTGCTGAGAGTGCTTGAGGGCCAGAAGCAAGGGACAGTGAGAGACAGGGATCGTCCCCCTCGCTGAGAAATGTCCAGGGGAAAGCTTGGCATGAGCTTGGACATCCAACCTACAGTGAGAGAGCTGGAGGGGCGACCCATGGGGTCTGAGCCTCCACCTCTTCATCTGTCCGTGGGGCCTGTGATTCCCCACGTGCCAAACCTTGGTGTCAGGAACATTTTAGGATGTGGAGATGCTGTAGAACCCATTTCTTCTGCTTAAGAAGGGAAGACGAAATGAGCCTGCTGGGAGGGCCACGATGGGACTGGGGCAGCACAAAGCCGGGAGGGCAGCAGCTTATGCTTCTGGCTCTGTTCTAGTACCTGGCTGAGCACACAGACGCTCCTCAACTGGCGTCTAGCTTCGAGGCCACCATCACCAAGTTTGATAAGAATTTTTCGGCCCACTTGCTTGACCTTCTGGCCCGACTGAGCATCTACAGCACCAGCGACTGTGAGCATGGCATGGCCAGCGTCATCTCCAGGTGAGTCTGTGGCCACCTGCTGTGTTCCCTCTGTGGCTGCCGCACTGTGCCCAGCACTCCCAGGGACTCCACGCTCGGCCCACCAGCTGTCGTCCACTCTTCGGTCTTGGCTGCACTGAGCCCTTGACAGGGTGTGTGAGGAGGGCCAGTTCTCAGGTGTGCGGGCCTTGGCCACTCATCTCCTGGTGCCACCGCTAGTCACACACCACTCCCTGAAGGCAGGGTGCGAGTGGGTCGGGGTGCTTACGGTGTGGCCACATGTGTGAGCATGTGTGGCAGGCCACCCTGGCCTTCCCTGGGGCATGATGTCTGTACATCTGTGCTGCCAGGTGGCCATGGCTGCTCCACCAGCACCCCACGGTTGCAGGTGTTCTCTGAGGCTGGGCTGGGCCTGAGTCGACCTCATGCATGCTGCACTACCCACCTAAAAGGAAGGCAGCCGGCCAGCAGGGATTGGGCAGGGGATTTGCCCACCAGTTGGGTGGAATGCGGCCCCAGCTTCCAACCAGGAAGGGATGCTGTCGTGGGGAAGGTGCCGCACCATTTGTGCCTTGGGACCAACGGGTGCCCTGTGCTCCACCTGCACAGATCTGATTCCTAAGCAGGGGATTCTAAGGCTGCCCCACACTGAGAATCTCTGCGAGGTGCCCAGTCCCTAGCACCTCAGGCCCCGTTGCCAGGCAGTTGCCTCATTGCCAGCACCCAGAGGTTGAGAAAAGAAACCTGCGTCTGCACCCTGCAGACCAGTGTTGAGCTGGATCCACATCTGCTGAAATACCCGTTACAAGTGCGCACCACCTCCCCACCTGCCAGGCCTGTTGCCAACCCTTTCCCCATGGGAACGGGGCCACCTAGCACGCACCCAGGGGAGGTGCGTGTGCCCGTGGCATCTTCGCTCCCTCCAAGGGGTCCTCACCTCTGCTCTCCTTCTACACAGGCTTGACTTCAATGGCTTCTACACGGAGCGCCTGGAGCGCCTGTCTGCAGAGAGGAGCCAGAAGGCCACACCCCAAGCGCCGGCCCCCCGGGGGCCCCCGGCCCCCACACATAGGGTCATGGTCACCACACAGTGAGCCCTTGCCATGACTGGAAGGGTGTGATGGGGCTGCCAGTTGTTGGGGGGAGTTCGTTCAGAACTTTCAGATCAGATATTCCTGAAATAAATTGTCCTGTGTGTTACTGTTGTTTAAATTTAAAATCTGACTTATCCGGCTGGACTCGGTGGCTCAGTCTGTAATCCCAGCACTTTGGGAGGCCGAGGTGAGTGGATTGCCTGAGCTCGCGGGTTTGAGACCTGCCTGGGCAACTTGGCAAGACCTCATCTCTACAATAAATCAAAAAATCAGCCAGGTGTGGTAGTGCATGCCTGTAATTCCGGCTACTCGGAAGGCTGAGGTGGAAGGATCGCCGGAGCCCAGCAGGTCGAGGCTGCGGTGGCTGGGAGCGGCCACTCACTCGAGTCTGGGCGACAGAGTGAGACTCCCACTCAAAAATAAATAAATAAATAAAATAAAAATAAAATCTGACTTATCCATGTAGCTCAGCTCATGAGCTTCTGAAGAGGCTAGGTTTTATTTCACAAAAGCTGTCCAGACAGGGTAGATGTTTTCCCGGATCTGCTTATTTGATCTGTTTGCTTTTTTAAATTGAACTGTCACTTTTTGAGTGTTTTGGGTTTCAAATAAAGACAAAGTGGAAGTACATGGTGTTTGAGCAAGAAACAAGGTGATGACGAAGACGTCGTGGGAGCTGAGTCCCAGCCTGCTGTCCACATCCTGTCCACATGAGCTCAGGCTGGGCTCCCTGAGGTCAGCCGGGACCCGAACGAGTCTCTGAACATCGGCCGGGAAGCCCTTGACCCTGCCGGGCCTCTGAGGTTTGCTTTGGGCACCATGAGTCGGCGCAGTTCGCTGTTCCAGTGGCTTACCAGCCTGGAGCTCTGCTGCTGCTGCGCCAAAGGCAGGCAGCCACACACTCCAATCTCTAGTGGGACGCACCACTGAGGAGCAGCCCCAGGCCGGCCATGTGCCACCTAGAGCCCTCGGCCCTGCCCCCACTGTCTGTCAGGCCCCACTCTCTCACGGAGAAATTACTCAACAGAGACCTGAGTGTGGTGTGGGGCCCGCCCAGTCCCCCTTGGGCAATCACCTGTCCTCTCTCTTCCTGCCTTCCCCGTTGTGCTAGGAGACAGCACAGCCAGCCCCGGGTGTGATGGGGCTGTGGACACCGCGGACTGCCCTGGCCAGAGTGGTCTGCTCTGGTGGTACTCCTGGCCAAGCTGCCCCTTCCTGCTGAGTTAAAAAATGCAGATCTAGGTGGCCCCTTGGGCAGTGAGGAAGGGGTTGGGAGCAGTAAGAGCCAGAGGCCCCCCAAGGGGACAAGGGTATGGGCGACTCTCAGCCATGGGACTGGCTTGTAGAGGGAGCACTGCAGAACTGGGAGGGTAAGTGCTGGGTTCTCTAGCCATTGACCATTTTCTTCCCCAGTCAGCAGTGCGTGCAGGCTTAGCCTGTGAGTAAACAAGTTTGTCTGCAACTCAAGATTGCCACAGTTTTGGCATTGTGCAGGTGCCGGGCAGTGAGCAGAGGAGCTTGCTAGGTTTCAGTCCTTCTGCCTGGTCTGAGCCCCAGGGTCTTCAGAAGTGGGCCTTCCCACTGCCCCTCTGGATTTGCAGGAGGTGATGATGGGAGGGGAGGGAAACCTCCATGGTTGTTATGTCCAGGCTCCCAGATCCTCTAGAGGACCTACAGAGTTGAGTCAGTAAAGCAGAGTTAAGTGTGTTCTTTGGAATGGTGTGGGACTACCTTCGTCATAGGAAGGGTTCAGTTGATATGGGGTCCAAGTTAGTCCTAGCTTTTGTTGACAAAAGATGCTTGAGTCTGTAAAATACTTAGAAAAATTTACTCTGAGCCGGGCTCGGTGGCTCAGCCTGTAATCCCGTGCCTTTGGGAGGCTGAGGTGAGTGGATTGCCTGAGCCCATGGGTTCGAGACCCGCCTGGGCAACTTAGCGAGACCTCATCTCTACAAT